TTCGTGTTGTTCATAAGCCATCGTCCGCATGCTCATTCGTTTAGATGTAAAGGTCCCGTTTTTCAAGCGCCTTCAATCTTTTCTCTGTCTTTACAAAAACGCGACAGCGGCGATTTCGGGATGTTGCATTTTTTCGCCACCTCCGTCTTGGGAAGGCCGCTTCGATCGAGCTCCTGAAGAATTTGCAGCTTTTTTTCAAGTGAGAGTGCATGGTGCGGCCACTTCCTTTCTATCGAGCTGAAATAACGCCACGATCTACTTCGCTTAGCCACACACATAGGCCTAACACACAACTGACTCGCCGACTCAGCTCCCACAGAGCCACAGCCACCACAAGCAAGAATGGCTATTGGATTGGCTTGTCTCGAGGTGTTGCCATGGTTGTGAGACTACCTTTGGCCTGAACGAGTCTATGCTGTGTTTAGAGTTTGTGCCGTTTAACCGTAGGTGACCATTAAGCACTGTTTCGATTAACCGATGAATTTTACTGCGCAACACATAAAAATCCAGCCACATGAGCCCGTTTAGTTCGGTTAATGAGGCATTTTCTTTAAGCAAGTTTTGTTTATTGGGAGTCCGGTGTACTTAGTCGCATACGTTCATTGTAAACTGATAGTACTTGAGTCATTAGGAAGGCTTACTGAAATATTTGCAGCATGAAAATGGGAAAAGCAAGCAGAAGTAAGAGATGGCTGCAATTCTAATCAAGTCATAGGAATATGTACAAGATGCTAAGCAGGCAATATTTCATGACCTTATTTAGTATAGTTCATAATCATCACCCAGCACCAGGAGTGGCGTGTCACTATAAAAGACAGACAAACATCTCCAGCAATATTTTTAATCTTTTTTTTTCACTATCTCTTTCTCACCTTTAAATCCTGCGCAACATTTTGGTAAACCTTATTGTCCCCATTGATCCCATGCTTGAAAAGACGTGAATTTTAGAATGGTCGACTTGCCAACGTTCTCATTTACGCCAACTACTTCTCTAGAAGATGGTAAATTATGCACTTCCTTTACAGACAATCCCCATGAATAATTGTGGCACAATGACGAACCTTTTCTTTCAGATTTTCTGCACACGTCCGAAAATGCATCCGATCTGCTGCCAATTCCATTGCCCAGCAGCGATGCCTGTGATGTGGTTCCCAGAGCCCGAAGTGTGCACAGGAAGGCAGCTGAATCTGTGATCAACAAAATGAAGTAATGGAGCATTCGAAGTGGGGCTAGAGACTGGATTATAGGCAAATGCCTATTTTGTTCCTTGCGTTCCTATCGTGGCATTTCGATATATGAGCTTGAATTAGAGGTTAAGAAGGGCTGTTATAGTGTTTTTGTAGTGCTTATAAATGCCTATTTTCTAAATAATTGCCTATATGAGCACTATTTAAGTCTAAATTTTGTTTTTGAGCATGATTTAAAACCGTTATTTATGTAAAAAAGGCAACATAGCTATATTCAAACACTATTAGCTTCAACGAAGTCCCCTATTTCTAACAACTTCCGCAAAAAAATGCTAATTGCAGTGAAATGGCACTCGCTGGCCAGCTTACGCCACAAAGCTGACATGCTGTGAGTGATTGTACGAAGAGCATGAGGAGTGCAAAGAACTGCATTTCTGCAGCTCTAAATGGAAGCACATTTCAGCGTCTGCAGGGGAATGGGTTGAAAGAATTGAAGATGGGATAACAAATAAGAGTGGCATCTATGGACGAGGATACGGCGACTGTCTTCTACAGACAGCTGTCCAGTGTCTTGAAAGAACCAAAGAACTGCCGTAAAAACCTAAGTGTTGTGGTAAGAAAGAAACAGCAGGTTTTTCTGTGTAGCCACTGGTAGTTGGAGAAGGAATGAAAAACCATGGAGGGCCAGACATGGAAGTCTCATGTTGATTCAGTGGTGGTGAAGGCCGCCGAATCGTAATACTATACACAGTGAAGCGTGAGACAGGTGCTGGCATGTTTACAATCAACGAGGTATATTGCATACATTCACTCTATGCCTGAATACACTTGTGCCGTACAATATTCTTTGGTATATGTCAATATGTCATGCTTTCTGTAATGAAAAACATGAAGAAATACAAAACAAGGCTGCAAGGTTTTCTCTAAGCCATTACTCAAATATTGACAGCTGTACCAATATGAAAAATGAACAGGTATAGGCCCGAACTCATCATTGCGTTGAATTTAACTGCGGTTAAAGCTCCTATGTCGAGGATTTATTGGTAAAAATCACATTCGAAAACAAATGTACCTAAAAGAGAGTAATTTTAAGCATCAATCAAGGTGTGTTTTCATTGACATTGTAACGCTGCAGTGCTTTAGAATAAAACAGCGACTTTTGTTTTGTTTGCAATTTACTTTTTTAAGCACCCCTCTTTAGGTGACCTAAGAAGTTGTTGTTAGACACTAGAGGTCCTTGCGTGCCCAATGAAAAGAGTTTTACTTCGGTGATTTTTTAAATTGGTTCGCAACGAGTCATAAAACCATAATGCGAAGAAGCAAGCTTGGATCCCTTGCCTCTCATCCTAGTAGCCATCCCGAGCCTAATTCCTTCCCTGCTCTCTTCGCTATCGAAGCTGAAGGATCACATGATGCATATGCACCAAGAATACCATGCGTAAGCAAGGTCACACTCGCATGACGTGCCCTAGCCTATTTGTGCACGTACGTCATTATTTTAGACGTACGTCATAGCCTATTTGTGCACGTGTCATTTGAGATTTCAGTGTTGTGTATTATCCGCTTATGTGGGATGGATCAGTCAGTGCGCGCACTTTAGGAGAGGCTGGCATGGATCATGTATCGTGACCGCGATACACGACATCGCATCGTTGTAACTGCGATCGGAGACGACTCACCAAACACAAGCTAAGCCTTGTCAGGGTTCGAGAAGGCACGATGGAGGAATGACATGAATACGAACAGGAGCGAAATAGGGGAGTACTGGTAGTTATAGTATAGAGTAGTTGTAGTAGTGGTAGTATACGTGAAAAAACCACAGTATGACTATGAGAGATGCCGTAGTGGAGGTCTCCGGAAATTTTGGCCATCTGGTGCCCTTTAATGTGCACTGCACATCGCGCAGTACGCGAGCATCTAACTTTAGCCTCCATCTAAATGCAACCGCCACGACCGGAATGGAACCCACGGCAATCGAGTCAGCAACGAAGCACTGTAGCCACTGGTTTACCGAGGCGGACATGAAAAATGGCCGATTGGTGTATAGCATCTCGCGACAAGTGAAAACTAAAATAAAGATAATAACAAGCTGAGATTTCATTTGTCTATTTTATTTTTCTCAGCTTTCATTCATTATACTCAGTTTTGAAAGGCCAGCACAAAGACGCAGGGAAAAGAAATACATAGAGACAAAGAGCGCTGCCTTTCTTTTTCCTTTGTTCTTCGCTTCCCTTTCAAAATGATATGAAGCAGCTAGCCCAAACGAAAGTACTCCTCAGTCATGCTACGCAACAGAACACACAAAGTACGCATGCCAACTAGAATAATATCTCTTGTAACTAGACCTGGGCACCGATACGAAAATTGCTGGTGGCAGCGAGTGACCGGCGCGGGGCTGATTGGTGGTGCGGGGCTGATTTGTGGCGCGGAAGGAGGGGGGGGGGTATTACTTTAGAGTCCAGAGTAAGGAGAAGAGAGCAAAGAGCTGTTTGAATTGAAAAAAAATGGAAAAAAATTTACCAATACCATGGAAATATGTACTTCTCCTTGAGCAAAGCTTTGTATTTATAGATTTCGCTTTGGTTCTCTGCAGCACGCTGGTGGTTTTCCGTGGCTCCGGAGTAGAACATTGGAAGCCGCCTTCATTTTCTTGTGCTGCCCCTTGCCCTTTTTGGCAGGAATTTGATGAGGGCCGGGAAAACCGCCATTGCCAGGACGGAAGCATACTATGTAAAGAAGCGCCTTACTAGCTTTCCGCTAGGGAAGGAAGCATGCGCTGCCGCATTGGGAAGGGGCGAATTGGACCCACCAAAGTCTGTGCCTCAGTTTCTCATGAAGTGAATATCGTCGTAGTGAGTTACGAGCAAGTGTGAATACCTTTTGCCTTGACTAGCTCACACATAGTCAGTACTGCAAAATAAGGCGCAAGGAAAGAACATCGGCATGCAGCAACATGTGACCGGGTGCTAAAGTGACAGGAAGTCGCTATAACCGAACGAATTTTGTCCGAAGGAGCAGTAACGATGGATATAGCTGCCCGGTAATGAATAAAACAAAAGTGTAAGATTTCGTGTGAAATGCTGCACTCAAATGAGCGTAACGTTCGCACGTGGCCTGTCATGTATTCATCTGACTTTCAGCAAGAATGTGGCTCATGTCCAAGCACAGTCAATTGTTTTATGCCACAGTGACACTAAAGCAATGGTTACCGTAGTGACAAAGCAAATAAAAGAAGGTACGGAAGAAAAATATTATTAGAAAGGGTCTTTGTGCAATATATATATATATATATATATATATATATATATATATATATATATATATATAAGTGGAATCTAACAAACAATAATGCCAAGGAATGCATAGGGGAAGTTACTAGAACCACCAACCTAATGTAAATAAGAAGAAAAAAAGTGGGTGAAAAATAACTTGCCGTGAGTAGGAATCAAATCTACGACGCCCGAATTACGCGTTCGATGCTCTACCACTGAGCTATCACGGCGGCTATTCCCCGAGCCACTTTATTGGGTTTATATGTGAATTTAAACGTGGGAGTGTCAGTCAGCGCCATCTGTGTGCAAGAACCAAACCTGCGACCTTCGAATATGTTGTTAGTGGTTCATGAGGAAAAGGAAGAAGGCACCTAATTTCTGTCTGCCTACAGGCGACACGGCGCAGTGCCTTTGGGGTGGGGTGGAGGGGGATGAAAGAGGATAGGAGAAATAGTGTGTGGTGTGTAAGGAGGGGTGTCCGGTCCGCTTCAGCGCGAGCAGCAGGCCGTCGGCAAGGGCAAAGGCAGCAGGACTCCTGGGATCAGCGGTAGGCAGCAATTCCTGACTCCTCCACGAACTCCGCCAAGCTGCGGAGTGCTGCTGGATGTGGACGAGCCGGGAACAGCAGGTTTTCCAGGGTGGAGACGGGCAGACCCTGTCTCCTGTAGGCCGTGTAGGCCCTCAAGCGTTCCTGTGCTAAGTCAGGGCAGGCACAGAGGAGGTGTTCGAGGGTCTCTGGGTCTCCGCAACGGGTGCAGGCCGGGGAGGGACAGAGGCCCTTGGCGTGGCGGCGGGCCGCCGTCCACACGCAGCCAGTCCGCAGTCGCAACAGGGAGGCCCGTTCTCTCCTGGTGAGGCCCGTCTCTGGGAGAGGCTTTGGTACTCGCCCGCTGGCCACCCTCGGGTCTGGGTGGACTGTGATGAGGGGCCTCTTGAGACGGGCCTGTGAATAGTCCCTGGCCGCCACGGCACAGGAGTAGGGAGTACCAGGCTGGTGGGCAGCCTTGGCGAGGGTGTCCGCCTTCTCGTTTCCAGCGATGGCCCCGTGGGAGGGCAGCCAGTGGAAGGAGACGGACACCCCGGTGTCAGTGAGGGTGCGAACCTTGGCTCTCAGGAGGCAGGCCGTCAGTCCAGCACGGCGGGAGTTGGCCAGGGTCTGCAGAGCCGCATTGCTGTCACACAGGACCGCGGCCGGCTCAAGGGGGATGTCCTCAGCCAACAGGTCTTCCGCGAGATGCAGTCCAGCAAATTCCGCAGCCGTGGAGCTCGCCGGGAAGGGTAGCCTGCACTGCCTGCTGTTGGCTCTAGACGGGATTACGCATGCGGCCGCTGCAGTCCCGTCTGGCATCACAGATCCGTCCGTGAACACCTGCAGCCGTCCCTCCAGTCGTTCCTGGAGCTTGCAGGAGGCCGCCTGTTGCAGTGCAGCCGCAGGCGTTCGTCGCTTGGTTGCCCCTTCCAAGCAGAGGTGGACCTCTGGTGGCTGGTGGTGAGGCGGTGGAGAGGCAACCGGGACTGGCAGATCTGGAACCACCTGGTGGTAGAGCAGGCAGAGGCCTCCCATCCGTGATGCTGGCTGGCTGCGGAGACGCTCCAGGAGGGCCCTGCCGTCGGTGGCGCGGTGAAGGCGGTCAATGTGGCCCAGCGCACGTTGGAGCATACGTAACGTCAGGGGCCACTCTCCTGCCTCCGCGAGAGTCGCTGCCACCGGCGAGCTTTTGGGAAGCCCCAGGATGGCCCTCAGTGCACCCCTGTGGAGTCCCTCCAGCAGGCTTCTCCTGGCCGGTGTCAGGCTCACCAGCGGGAAGGCGTACAGGAGGACCGAGGACGCCGCAGCCTGGTTGAGCTGGAGGGCCCACTTGGTGGAGCAGCCGCGGCCACGCAGCTGCAGCCTGCTGATGGCGCCCTGGACGCGCCGCACCTTGGTGGCAGCAGCCTTGGCAGCCGGGATCCAGGTGAGTCGGTGGTCGATGGTGAGCCCCAGGTACTTCACCACCAACCTCCAAGGCAGGCTGCGATTGCCAATCCTCAGCCGTCTCACGTGGGTGTGAGCTGCCGCCAGCCGGTGAATCAGCAGGGCCTCAGTCTTGGTGGCAGAGACCTTAAGCCCGATGCCTCCGAGGTAGGTTATCACTGCATCGAGGACCGCCTGCAGTGATCTCCTGATGGCCGGGATGGACCACCTTGGTCCCCGGACCCAGAGTGCCACGTCATCTGCGTAGACAGAGCAGCGGGCCGGGAACCTGGTGTCTGTTGGGAGGGACGCCGGAAGTCCTGCTAGTGCCGTGTTGAAGAGGAAGGGGCTCAGTACTGAACCCTGTGGGACACCAGCAGTGATGACCCTGGGTTGGCTGGTAGCCCCTCCAACGCGGACGCGGAAGATCCTCCCGGACTTCGAATAACGCTATCGATGCTCTACTACTGTGCTAACACGGCGGTTATCCTCCCAGCCACTGTATTGGGTCCCTGCCCACAGCAAGTTATCTTTTCACCCAGTTTTCTTTCTTCGCATTTACATTACAATTCGTTCTAATAACTTCCCCTATATTTTCCTTGGCATTATTGTCTGTTATCTTATTAATAACGTGTCAAAACACGGAAAAAAACGAGCCCTTAAGTATACACTTCTTTCCCATATATATATATATATATATATATATATATGCTATAATGCATAATCTACATACATTGCTGAATCGTATTGAGGAAAGCATTTTTTTGGGGGGGGAGAGGCGGGGGCAGAGAGCTGCATCGCAACGCCTCTATGACAATTCACTTTGTTCAAACAATTTGACACAATAACACTTTGTTTGTTTTTTTCAGTTATACGCTTATTTTTTACATGAGTGAATACCAAGGACATAAAGCTTACGAACACACAGATATATTTCTCTTCCTAAGCAAGTGATGAAAGATTCATTTAGAAGCACTATAAAAAAATATGTCGTTTATATGATACCATTATATGCGAAAGCGCTTACTACGATAAATATAAAACTTTCAACACCTCCACACTGCCTGTGAGTCGAGAACAACCAATGCGAATAATGCAATCCAAAAGCATTTAACAGCTAATGACACTCTTCCATGAATGTGATCAAGTGAGGCACAATCTGAAAATTGTGAAATAAACACTGTAGTAGACGAAGCGAAACATGTCTAACCTCATAAGAAGCACGAACAAATAACGAATAATTGCGAAAGGCTTCAGTGCAGCATCGTGTTCAACCCACTGCTGAACACCGGGAGCACACATTTCAGCTCTCGCTGGTTAAACCATTTGTACTGAGTGCTTGGGCAGTGATGTTTATTTTGCTCCTGGCGCATGCTGAAGCTACTGATTCATACTATAACCTTGAGGAAAATCGGGTGGTGCGGTCGTTCAACTATTGTGGGAATGATGGGAAGTACACGGTTCGGATCGAATTGCATTAGCGAACTGCCTACGGGTGTTCTCAGTTTATATTTGGTTCTGCACGCAGCAGCTTCACCTGGCGTATACAGTGTTGACAGGCGTGCGTAAATGTGTGTGTCTGGGAGCAATGCAAGGAACGGTATCTTCTTGAAAGCGGCGGGAGCATGCTAGCTCTCCCGGTTTAGGCAACGTTGCATATTTACGGTTGCGATTAGATAGTTTTGGCAAAGTGTCGTTCATGTACCATTTCATTTCATTTATTTCGCCCTTAAAGGCCCGAAGGCATTACATAAGGGGGGACAAGTAACAAGATAGGGTACAATGTTCAACAGGATAAGTAAATAAATAAATAAATGAATCAAAGCAAATAAGTTTACACAGAAGAGAGAGAGAGAGAGAGGAAACTTTATTAGAACTTGGCCGGCAGCTTGGTCTTGGTGGCCTCAGATGGCGGCGCTGAGTCCCTGAACTCGGGCGGCATCTTCGGCCTGCCGGACAGCCCAGAGCTGGTCGTTGAGCTCCGAGCTTCTGAGCGCCGCCTCCCAGCACAGAAGACACCAATCAGAAATCACATGAACGAACTATAACAAGATAAAAAAGAATACACAATGCTTTACATATGTTAAGCGATTGCAGAGCAAAACTAAGTACAATTCTAAAACGATTGGCGATAAGCACGAAGTAGTTGAGATTATCAGGAGAGAGGCTTGAAAAAATGTTCGTTCAGTTTTGCGCGGAACGTTTCTCTGTCGGTGAATGAAGCGGAGTCATCCGGTAAGGCATTCCAGAGGGCTATTGCATTAGGAAAAAATGAGGTGATAAATGCTGTCATCCGGCCATTTATGCGTGCAATGAGCCTGCTGTGATTTATGCGCGATGAAGTTCTGTGAGCAGATTGGAGCAACTGATGTCTTGAGCGTGGATGATAGTAGAAGCGGTGCAGAAGGCATAGACGGGTGATCAAGCGGCGGGATTCAAGAGTTGGAAGGGAAAGAGAGTGTTTTAGCTCGGTAACTCTGGTTTTGTGTGAGTATTGCAAATATATGAAGCGAGCTGCGCGATTTTGGATGGACTCTAATTTAGTTGTTAGGTAGGCTTGTGAAGGATGCCAGATTGCTGAACCATATTCAAGTTTAGGTCGTACGAAGGTGATGAAAGCTAGTTTTTTTACGTCGGAGGATGCGCACTTCAGGATGCGTTGAAGGTAGCCGAGTGTACGGGATGCTGTAGAGCAGATGTAATCGATGTGGGTGATCCAGGATAGCGATGAAGTCAAGTGGACGCCAAGATATTTGTAGCATGATACGGAAGCTATGGGCACGGCGTTAATAGAATATATGTTGGCAAGTACGGCACGCTTACGGGTAAATGATAATGATTTGCACTTATCTATGTTTAGGGGCATGAGCCATTTATTGCACCATGAAGCAATTGAGTCGAGGTCGCGTTGTAGCTTATTAGCATCGGCAGGGCTATTGATGACGGTGTAGATGACGCAATCGTCAGCGAAAAGTCGGATATTAGATTTAATGTTAGCCGGCAAGTCATTAATGTAGATGAGGAACAGAAGGGGCGATAAACCGGCACCTTGCGGCACGCCGGATGTTACCTTAGCAAATGCTGATTGACAGTTATTAGCTGACGTGAACTGTATGCGTCCCGTCAGAAAGTGCTTAATCCAGCTTAATAAATTCGGAGGAATACCAAGAGAAGTTAGCCTGCGAATCAGGTGATTGTGAGGTCCGCGGTCGAAGGCTTTTGCAAAATCCAGAAAAATGGCGTCTTTCTGAAGGTTATTATCCATGGAATTAAGTAAGTCGTGCGTAAATTTGGCGATCTGGGTATCACAGGAAAAATGTTTGCGAAAGCCGTGTTGAAGTGGGTGGAAGAAATTAATTGATTCAAGGTGGCTCATGAGACTAGATGCTATAATGTGCTCAAATAGTTTAGAACAAATGCACGTTAAAGAAATGGGACGGTAATCAGCTGGGATTGACCGGTTGCCTGACTTAAAGATCGGTATAATCTGGGCTTTTTTCCACTCGTCTGGAACGGTGCCCAGCTCTAAGGATTGCAAAAATATTAGAGAAAGTAATAGGCTAGAATAATGGACATTGTTCTTCAAGAGCTTGGTGGTGATACAGTCACAGCCAGCCGATGAAGAAGATTTAAGATTACGACTTAAGTTAGAAATTCCATCAGGATTTATGTCGAATGGGGAGAGTTATCGAGGGGAACTGAAGGGAGATGGCGAGACGGCAGTGCTATTGGCGGGGTTAAATGTTGATGCAAAGTAGTCATTAAGGACGGATGCGCAATCCTCACTGTTTATCGGTTGACCTCCTGAATCAACAAGTTCGATTTGGTTGCTACTTGACTTTGGTGAAAGCAAACACCAAAACTTATTAGGATTTGATTTTAGGATAGATAGCAGATCCACTGAGAAGTATTTAGCTTTTGCTTCAGCTACCTTTTTCATGTACTGATCGGCGCACAGGCGATATTTTTCCCAGGCGTCAATATTGTTGCGTAGTTTCGCTGAACGGTATAGGCGTTTTTTTCTGTTGAGTAAGGATTTTAGGCGTTATGTGAACCACTGATTGAGTGAGTCGGTTTTGATAAGAATAGTAGGGATAAATTTATTTTTGAGACTTATGAGCTTGTTTTTGAACAGTTCCATTAGCATTGACGGTACGATTTTGGTTGAAATGCCGGAAGGTTTCGTGGAATTGTGCTAGTCCCATATTTGTGGCGTCCTAGTTTCCTCTTTTGTAATCTGTGATCGTTTTAGTTTCGGGTGACTTCTTTATGAGAGACAAGGATAAGAAAATGTACAAAACACTATGATCACTGATACCAGGTAACACCGTTACACTATTACATGATCAGGGTTCGTGGTTAGTAAAATATCTAGTGTGCTGTTCCCTCTAGTGGGGCATGATATGACTTGGTGCAAGTTAAAGTCTAGAATAAGGTGGATGAACTGATTAGCTTCGTTTGTTGGGGAGGCGTTTGGAGTGGAGAGGAGGGGCCAGCTGATTGAAGGGTAGTTAATGTCGCCGAACAAAAAGATAAAGGCATCGGGAAGTTTTTCTTTGACTTTAGTTAAGGCGCGCTCGAGTAAAGAACAGAAAGAATTCGGACTGTCGGGAGGCCTGTAGCAGATACCAAATACAGACGTAACTGTGCGGTTTCGCACACAGATCCATGTTAGTTCGAGGGTGTCGTCGTGGAATAAAAAAGTGGAACACAAGGTATTGCGGACAGCAATGAGAACACCACCCCCTCTCCGGTCCAGCCAGTCACGACGATATATGCTGAAGTTAACGTTAAAATGGAGTATTTCGTTATCACCAATGTCAGGATGTAGCTACGTTACTGTTAAGAGTACGATGTCTGCATCAACGTCTTCGATTAGGCTATGGAGGTGGTCACGTTTGGGGATCACGCTGTGAGATTTCGTGAAAGCGATGTTAAAAAGATGGTATGTTAAGGGCCGATAGCGTGGCAAGGTCGTGGACGCCTTCACATGATGTCAATCAGTGATAATTCTTGCATTTGTAGATGATTCAGTACGTTAAGGCTCAGCAGAGACATTTTGGGTGCATTCTACAACGGTATCACTGACACAATCGTAATAGTAAACACGTTTACCTACAAGAAGTTTATCAAGTTTCAGTTCAAAAGCGCATTTGGCGGGACGTATGCACTTAAGAAGCTTGGAGCGGGCCAAGTGAGTGGCGGCAGCGAAATCTTCTCTAATCGCATAATTGGTGTTTTTCAGCTTGGGTCCACAAGATAGAATCCCGTCTTTAGCCTTGAAGCTGGAAAATTTAACAATAACAGGACGTTTTTTGCTGGCCGTAAAGGTGCCGATACGGTGGGCTCTCTCGATGTTGCTTGAAAGCAGCGGCAAGGAGAGCTGCGTCGAACAAAACGCTTTAACTTTATCTTCCGATTGTTGCCATGTTTCCTTGGGGTCGTCATCAAGACAAAAAAAAAAAAGAAGATTATTCTGACGCATGTGATTGCTTACGTCGATGTTAGCAGCTCTAAGCGTGGCAATTTCTTGCTTTAGCTGGCCTGTTTCAGCATTAATTAAAGGCGTGAGTGAAAAGGGTTGTTTTGTTTCTAGTGCTGTAACGCGTTGGTCAAAAGATGTCAGAAGAATGGATTGTTGATTGCATGCTTCTTTAGGCTGGTTTAGTTCAGTGCGCAATGCTGCCTGTTCGTTCTCTAGTTGCCTAAAAGTGCTCAAGACATATGGGAGGTCAACAGCATTTGGGGGTCCAGGGTTAAGTTCTATGTCGCCGGAAAGCAGTAATAGCAAATCAGAAAGCAAAAGACAGGTGAGCATGTCGCAGCACAAATGAAAGTTGACAGCGTGTTGAGTGTTGCCGGGCACAACACCAACACGAGAAAACAATCGCTAGAACGATACTGTTTCGAACAGTCGAGGTAACTAACCTGAAAGGTTAACAGAGCGTTGAGCATCGTGTGGCATGCGGTGTTGTGCCCCAAGCTTACGGCGTCACTTGCAGGAATATATTGCGTTCTTTCGGGCCATGTGACTGATGACGTTGAAGCCGGTGGTTGTTGCCATGCAAAGCGGGATGCAGCCAAAACTGGATTTCCGGGCGGGTTTGGTGGGTTCCAGGGAAGTTCGAAGCTCCAGGATTGAAGCTCACGGACCGGTCCAGGTACCCGTGGTGGGTTGGGAAACACTGGGGCGTTGGCAGAGAGCCAGGACACCATCGCCTGAAAGGTTAACAGAGCGTTGAGCATCGTGTGGCATGCGGTGTTGTGCCCCGAGCAGACGGCGTCACTTGCAGGAATATATTGCGTTCTTTCGGGCCATGTGACCGATGACGTTGAAGCCGGTGGTTGTTGCCATGCAAAGCGGGATGCAGCCAAAACTGGATTTCCGGGCGGGTTTGGTGGGTTCCAGGGAAGTTCGAAGCTCCAGGATTGAAGCTCACGGACCGGTCCAGGTACCCGTGGTGGGTTGGGAAACACTGGGGCGTTGGCAGAGAGCCAGGACACCATCGCCTGAAAGGTTAACAGAGCGTTGAGCATCGTGTGGCATGCGGTGTTGTGCCCCCGATCCCCATTAATGTATAATCCGAAATTCACAAAGGGAACTTCATAGATTTTTTTGTCTGTATTATTATATCTTCTCTAGACGCACGCAACGTGGCTGCAAAAAGACGACAAAGCTATAAGTGAACGCTCCTTAATGATCCGCTCAACCTCCCAGCGTTAGAAAGATCTCTTCTGCTCTGCACTGAATGATCTTTACAGTAGAGTGAGAGATCTGTTGTATACGAACCACCGCTTTCACACTCTTTCTACGTATGAGCACACGTGCCTGCTGTTGGTAAAAAAAACTGTGTTTATTATTTACTGTTCTATACAGTGTTTTTATTTCCAATATTGATTATGCATATTCAGTGTTCAAAACCCATGTTTACTTTCACCATTTCAAAAAAAATGTCATTTGCGAGTGCCACATCTCGAGAAGAATTTCTAGCTGTGTATAATAGCAGAGTTCAGTTGAAGTTGTCCCGGTTCTGGGTCAATATCGAGGTCATACAGAGTTCCTGCCATCAGCTTTATATTTGGAAGAATGAAGCTAGTCCTTACAGTCACCGACTGATTTTTCGGACTCCAAAAATTTGAACTTGTTGAAATATTTCTAACTTCAAAAGTTCATCATCAGGGTTTCCATAGGGTTAATGCATTTTTAGACCAATTTTTCGGATTACATCACCCCCTGAAGTTGGATTTTCTGGACTACATCGCTTGTTTTGAGCCGCACAACGAACCTGCATGGACGCCTTGTTGCCTTTTCTGCCGGCTTGACTAAGCTTCGTGGCATAATTTTAAAATGGCTTTCCTGCCTCCAAAATTGGAAACCAAACGTCGTACTCGGAGGCCGTGCCTGCTTTACAAAACGCGGCACGGAACTATTCTCTCGTCTTCGGTCAGCCGTAGTGGTCAGCATTGTCGTCATCGCACCGTACAGGGAGGAGGCGGAGCTGCGCTGTAGTGGAGTGAATGTGCCTGCCACGATAACATTAAGGGAGTTTTAGAATAGAGCACCGCGAGCCCTTGCGGTGAGGTCGCTGCCACTGCGCATGCGTCGTAACGTGAGTTGCCATTCGAGGCCTGCCCGCAGAAAATCCGAAATATCGTGTGGCAATCGCGGCACGCGATGCCCGCGAAGTGTTGCGTGTAGCTTCCGTGCATTTGAGTTTTCGGTCGGGGTGAATGTCTCTAGACCTTTCCCTAGGGGGAGCAAACGCTATTCTAGAACTCGTAATGCGTCCGCTATACCCGTAACGCCTGAAAACGTTATTCTAAAACTCCCTATTTAAAGACTTCGCTCATGCGGGCAATGAGAATTTCGTGCGCAGAGCCCACAGACGAAGAAATTGTTCACCTGGGTGTTCAGCAGCCAGAGAGCGGTTCTTATGATGACGATGATCGCCCGCAGCTGTCGGCAGTGGAGATCGCCACCGCGGTGACGCTTTTGTTGAGCATTTATGGTGACGATGTCATCTTGGCGCAAATACGGGCGAAACAAATTGCTTCCAAGCGTAATATGAGGCACGGCAGAATCACGGACTTTTTTAAGCCTGCTTGATGCAATAAAGTTGATAGTTCTGGCAAAAACGAGTTTTTTGGACTGTTAAATTTTTAAGACTTTTTTTCGGTCCCCGCCAGGTCCAAAAAATTGGTCGGCGAATGTATTGAGAATAAGTTCATGTCACTGTTTTATATTCTCGGTGAACGAGTGCCGCGAACTCAAGAACGAAATTCACCCTAGGCAGATACGAAGCTTCTACTTTCCATCAATCTCATCGTGGTTGGAGAATCTGGTGTCTAGCCTGTTAGTACATAGCTTGGAATCTAGAAACCCAGCGTTCATAAAACACATGAACAAGAAGACAAATAAGATAACCACACACGCTGGGGCTTGTGGTCGTTATGCGTTTTTTTGGAGGCTGGGTTTGTCGATTACAAGCCATGGTAGTTGAAGCGCCACTCAATCAGCTTTGCGTGCCTTGCGTAGACATTTCAAAAATTTAATTTGAGTGCAAACAGACAACACATTCACGCACACACACACACCCAGGCATCAAACACGCACAGCGCTGTGTGTGTGTGTATGTGCGTGCATGAATGTGTCGCGTGTTTGCGCTCAAATTAATTTTTTGCAATGATCTACCAACTAGCTGAACAAGTTCTACTCACGTATGCACTTGCTCCATATTCCACTATAGGTTTTGCGTTATGAAATTTTACGTTGAAACTGTGACCATCTCAATTGGCATCAGCAGTGCACTCGCGGGTCACAGAGGACATTGTGCTGTGAAAGCACTCGCCGACTTTTGTCGTTTTAGTAGAAGCGGGGACGACCGGTGTGGCAAGAGCCTTCAGTATTGTACGGCGTTGTGCGACTTTATCGCACGGGGGGGTTAGGGCATTCGCCGCGGCCTTATATATATATATATATATATATATATATATATATATATATATATATATATATATATATATATATATATATATATATATATATATATATATATATATATATATATATATATATATATATATATATATATATATATATATATATATATATATATATATATATATATATAAGACGACTTGTGGCGCGCCAGCGGCATGCCCACCCTGAAAATTTTGGCGTTGGCGCCAAGCGGCACGAGGAAACCAGGTGGCGGCGGCGGCGCACAGCTCTACATGCAACTCCCTTAATGAGGTATCGTTTTAAATGCAGGACACAATTGTGAGACAGGACATTCTTCATCTTTTTTTCTAGATATAGCTAGTATTTAACCATGTTCTGAAGAATAGTGTATGGCGAGCGACGTCAGAGTGCCAATGTAAACGTAATGGAGCGATGTAAAAGCAGGACCATTCCTTGATGTACATCACTCTATCTATCTTAGGGAAATTGTCGGCTAGAAGGGCAAGTAGCATTCAGTAGAAATTTAGTTTTTCCGGGACGTGTAGTAGCATTGCAAATCTTTACAGGCATGATCCTGAGTGCCCAGTGCATCTATTACGCTTGTCAGCTCAAAATGCCCAAACCCAGTGAGGGGCCCTCTAAGGTGTTCACCGACAGGGGAGAAATTGATCCTATGTGATTAGACCTGGCATCCCTCCCTTCTCGTGTATCAGTGGTCTGGGTATCTGCTCCTGCGATGCCCTTTCCCGCCACGAGGAAACGAAAGAGACCCAGAAGAGTGTTGATTGGATGGTGGACACTTGACTCATAAGGCTAAACAATAAAATGAAAGACCATAATCTGCAAATTGCGCGGCAAAATGCATGCCTATGTTCAACCGTCAGTGCTTTTGTGCTACCCTAAACAATATCATTTATTTTGCTTCTTGTCGTAGGTACAAGTAACCGACCTCATTGTTTTAAATTGTTTCAATTTTTGTAGAAAAAATCATTGTGCCTATATTTATGATTTTGAAGGCCTAGAACTGTGTTTTACCTGCCTGTTTTTGGCGCCTAAAACACATTTAGTGCCTAAAAATCCGGACTATAGTCATGGCAGTGACGCTGTCTTAGAAGACCTAGCCTGTTCCGCAGTAGCAGAGTAGGACGTTACGCGTTAGATGTAATTAATTACTTGCACTCAGCTATATTTTTGTGTACTTTTATGATATAATCTATTATTTGGCTAAACTGTAACATTCTGTCACATATATTAAGGAGAATCCTTTTATTGCGTGATAATAGTGTTCTTTTGCTAATGAGTTTCAACAAATATTGTGACTCTGCAGTAGACGAACAGCTTGTTGCATCTTTCCTGACTTTTCAGTCATGAACAAGTGGTGGGCCCATGATTCTTTAAACTTGCATGGTATTATTGCACGGAAAGCGTACAGAACTACCTTAGGCTGCTGTCATCGTATATTCTTGGCAACTCTTCAGTGAGATAAGTTACTATCAGTTACATTTTATGTAGATGTCACTTCAAAGTTGGAAAACAAAGCACTTTACAAGCCATTTCATAACATGCTCGACCATGTGCATTTTATTGGGGTGCTAATAGTTTCTACTCTGTATTCTCAGTACGTCTAATTGTAGCATTTTCAGTAACCACTGGAATAGTTCCATGTTTTCACCACAAAAGTCAGTTTAATGTGTTCACCACTTCATAGTATTCAACAAGTAGGCATTACTAATAAAATCAAGATTGAGAAGTTTTGTAGGCACACTATCAAAAGCGGTACGCTGTTCATTTCTTTGCGGTTACCAACCCCTGAAATCAAATGCATCATTCCTGACGGGTTTATGAACAATTGAAATAATGAATTATTGAAAATTCACTGTGTTCAGTAGAAGCGTCCCACAAATTCTGGAATCTGGTTCTATATACCATGTTGAATCTTTTCTCGCCACTCTCAGGGACTCAACCGACTCTGCACGAAGGAAAAGGCATACAGAAACTAGCGTTGTTGACAGCAATGCCCACCACCTCAAGAAAGCATCAGACGAGCGATGCCACAAATGCCAGAGGTGCGACCAATAATTTACAAGGAAGACTGATCTCGCGGCACATCTCCGAACGCACGCAAGCGGTAAGCCCTATCAATGCAGCGCATGTGCTAAATCATTTACACAAAAGGGTCATCACGGGGCACACCATCGCACTCACACAAAAGAGATGCCCTACCATTGCCACATATGCACTAAATCATTTGCGCAGAAGTGTCATGTAGTGGTGCATCTCCACACGCACACAGGGGAGAAGCCCTTCAAATGTTCTAGGTGCACTATGTCCTTCGCACAGCCGGCAAATTCGCGTGCATATGAACGCCTGCATGCTGGCGTTTATGTATAATGTAATATGTATAAATGCAAACTGTGTGGTCATTCATTGAGTATATTGGCAGCTCTCAAAAAGCATCAACAAGCGCACAGAATCAATAAAACGTGAATGTGCGAAAACCACAAACCAAATCATTAATATGAGGAATGTATTTGAGCCCTTCTGC